GTCCAGGATCTTAAGATCAGCTCCCTTTCTCCAGGCCATTCGGGCTGGTTAGGACCAGTGCTGCCTCACCCCAGCCCCAAGGCAGGATAACTACCCTAATAGCCATCCCCACCCTATGGCCTCATCTGGAAGTAAGTGCCAGAGGCCCATAGTCACACTGGCATGTTTCAGGACACCTGTGCACACGTGCAGGCCCAGATTTGGGCCCACAGAGACTAGGCCACGGCACTCTGCGAACATTCTCCCCCAACTCACAAATACACAATCGGCTACTGCACACACACACACACACACACACACACACACACACACACACTGACACATTCTCACACCTACAGCACCATGGGTCATGGCTCCCCATCCCTGGACCTGTCTTCTTCTCCTCAGCCTGAAAGACCCCTCCCATCTGACCCAAGGCCCCTGGCCCCTACTCTTCAGGTGAGACACTCTCCCACTCCTGCCCTTGAGAGCCTGTCCCTTTCCTTCCTCTCTGGAGAGGAGCCCCTTCCTTTGCTCTTCCCTCTCCCTGGGATGTTCCCTCCAGTACCCTTCCCTGGGATTTGAGCTCTGTCTCCCTAAGGTGAGTGGGATCAGGGAACCAGACAAGCCCAAAGGTCCCTTCCTGCCCCAAATCCAAGCCTAGAAGCCAGAGTCCTTCCCCTTTCCGGGCCCCTTCTCCCTAAGCTTTCTCCCCTGATGCTACCTGCCCTCTGCCCTCCCACATGCCATGGCCAGGGTGGGTCCCAGGTGGAAAGGGGAGTCCTACAGTAGCCCACCCGCGACACCCCGTACCCCACCTCCAGTGCCCTCTGGTGGAAGATCGACCACTTACCCTGGGCTCTGCTGGGGTCCAGTGACTGCCCCCTGCAGGCTTCTGCTCCCGAGGGGCTAGAGGCAGCGGAGCCTTCCTCCTCTTCCTCCTCCCCCCGCCCCTTGTCCTCCTCTCGCTCTTGATCGCGTCCTCTGCTCTCCTCTATTGCACCTTCTCTAGCCTCCTGCCCCCCCTCCCTTTCTCCAGCGGCTCCGACGTTCGCCTCCCTTCCCACGCACGACTGTAGATTTCCCTGTCTCTCTCGGGCTGTGCCTCAGCCTCTGGACCACCGACGTCCCTGGCTCCTTCCCCAATGTGATCCCTCTCCCCGGCATCTCCTTCTCCCTGCCCCCTCCCTCTGCCGCCTCCTCCCCCCCATCCCTCCCCCCCTGGCCCCCCCCCCCCGCCCTCCCCCGGCCTTACCGCCTGTGCCCGATGCCACTCACCCGCCTGGCACACGCGGGGCGCTGCAGGATACTTAATCCATCTCCTGCCGAGAGGCTTGGGACCCCCACATGGGGAGGCGGGAGGGTGGTGGTGACAGAGGCAGCCTAGGTCTGCCAAGCTCCAAGCTTGCACCCCTGAGTTGGGGACAGGGGTCGGTGCCCTTGCTGAGCCTGGAGAAGCCCCCCCATCCCCCCTGACCTGGGGTTGAGCGGGAGGAAATTGGGGGAGGGACAGGAAGAGGCTGCGGTGAGGGGGGGGGGCACCACACCCCGGACCGGCCCCGGTTCCTGTTCTCGAAACAAACACAGTTCCCACGGGGCTCCCCTCCCTGCGCCCTGACTCTGGCTTCCTGCGGCGGTGGGGGCTATTGAGGGTAGACTGGGGACCCTTGATGCCCGGATCCCTGGAGGGAAGGGAAGGCGACAGTTCTTTGATGGGGGGGGGGGCGCATCCTAGAGATGGTGATGAGACACTGATGGGAGACAGGGTCCCCCCTGAGAAAGGCCAGCAGGGAGAGGAAGAGGGCATTGATAAGGAAGCCTCGGACGCCTAGGTCCTGGGGGAGGGGGGTAGAAATGGGGGACAGCCTGGATGAGAAGGGCTGCGGGCTGCAGGTTGTGAGATTGGGAGCTGGGGAAACCGTTAAATGGTTTCCGGCCGTTTGGGGTTCCAACGTACTCACAACGAAACCACCTGCCCCAAACCTCCCTTTCCCCACCGCGTCTCCTCCTTCCTCCCCCCGGTCCCGGAGGGCGCACCCAGATCAGCTGCCCGCTACGGCTCTGGGAGCTCAGAACCGCTCCCGGGGCTCCCCTGCCCCAGGACCCGCCCCTCCCCACGAGTGGGCTTAGGGGGGCCGGGCTTCCTCCTATTGGCCCTCCAGGAGGCGGTGCCTGGGCTGGACAGGCCCCTCAGCCCCAGCCCCCGAGGTTGCGGAGGTTTGGACCGGGAGACTTAAGCTTGGTGGGGGTTGGGGGCAGGGACCGATTCCCCACCCAGCCACGACCCCTCCCGCCCCAGACCCAGTGCAGCCCCGCCCCAAGCTGAGAGGAAATAGGCCGGGAGGGAGAGCCAGTCCCAGGGGAGGGGGCGGAGGCAAGGCCAGCTCCCCTCCTTTTCCAAGCCCAAGAGCCTGGATCAGGACCTAGTATGGGCACAGTGCTGGGGCCCAGGCAGCTAGAGGCCGAGAGATGGGGAGAAGGGACGCGAGACGGAAAGCCAGATCGGGGAGGGGTGGCCCTGGGCCTCCCAGCTGAGCTCAACTAGGGAGCACCTGCTAGCCTCTGAGGAGGGGCTAGGGGTGGGGCGGGACCCTGCAGCTGCTCTCCCTCCACCCAGGAGCTAAAAATACTCCCTCCCCGAAGGGCCCCCACCCCACCCCCAGGCCCTGCCCACACACGCTCCGCCGCGGGGATAGGAAGAAAAGCACTCAGACCGGGTCGGCCTTTGTTGACACTTTTAATTGGTGGAGCTTTTACCCAAGAAGGTGGGGAAGGCTGGAGGGCCGCCCCCGACATAAGCAACAGAGGGGAGGCCGCCAGGGAGGAGAGCCTTGGGGAGCAACCAGATGGAGTGGGGACATGGGTGGGGAGCGTCGGTGACACTGAATGACGCCACCAGATGGAATCATCAGAGTCCGGGGACGGGGGAGGCAGAACGTGAGCGCGTGTCCGGAGGGCCTCTGCTCAGACCACTTCATCGGGGGCCGCCAGGCGCTGGCGGGAGGGCTCCACACCCCAGATTTCCCGGGCGTACTGCGCAATTGTTCGGTCACTGGAGAACTTCCCCGATGTGGCGATGTTCTTGATCACCATCCGCGTCCATTCCCGAGGGTTCTAGGAAAGCCAAAGAGCCCAACTTTGGAACCCAAGCACTGTGGCCTCCCAATTCTACCGCAGGGCGTTGGAAGGCTGGGCAGGAGCCCGAGGGGGTGCTGTGCCTTCACGTCCACCCCCCCACTCCCTCACAGGAGCCCACGAGTGACCCCATGAAATGGGGTCAGTGTCCTTGACTCACCTTGTACAAGTCGCTGACTCTCTCTTGGCACTTGATGTAAGCTTCATAGTCAGCAAAGACCTTAAAACTGGGGAAGGAGAGGAAGCCGAGATTGGGGCAGGAAATGTGGAGTTGGGGTAGAGGAGAGAAGAGGAACTCCATCAATGACAGATCCAATTTTTCAGCTCTGTCCCTTTTACTTTATGGTCGGAGAAACTGAGGCACTAAGGGGAGCATGTCTGAGTAACGAACAGGTCACTGATTGGCCCACTGTCCTTTCCCCCTCCCCCCTCCACCTTGTACACAAACCCACCCAGGTAGCCTGGAACTCCAAAGTCCCAAGGCCTATCCCACCCTTCCCCAGCAGAACTAACCAGGCGTGGCCAATGGGGACCACGGTGATCTCACCCACACATGCACACTGCTCCCCACCCCCCATTTATGTCCATGTGCAGGCCCTGCTGACCGGTCATGGTGCATGAGCATGTTGACAATGTCCTTGAACAGGTCGGGCTGTTTGGGAGAGAAGAAGCCACTGCTAAGCTGTTCGATGGTCTGTCGGAGCTCAGGGATGCGGTCATAGTATTCCTGGGCATTGTACCTGTTGGGGAGGGTCCACCGGCTCAGTCTACTTGGACCTCCCAAAGCCTCCCCTCCTCCACTCTCCATGATCCCCCAGGAAGCCCCACTTCATCTACGGTCATCTGCTTCTTCCAGGAAGCCTGCCCTGACTGTTCTGGCTCACTTGGGTGGCCTTCTCCCTTCCTTCCTTTGGTTGTGTGCCAACAGTGGGAGCTCCCTGAGGGCAGGGCCTGGGTCTGATATTTCTTGTATCCCCCATAGCAGCTCGTTCAGGTAGAGGGTTATGAACCTGTTTCATTTCTTCTTCCCTGCTCCCCCGATCAGATCCCTTCCACCCAGGGCTATGCATCTTAGGGCCCTGTGCCCCCTCCCCTGTCCAGGCGATGAGCAGCTCCTTCCTCTGTGCTCTTTTCCTTGGCCAGCCTCTGCCTTCCCAGGCCTGGCCCATCTCTATCCAGAGTTCCAGGGCCACGTCTCCACCCACACAGCCTGCTGGCACCTCACACTTCTGTCCCAAGATGGGATTCAGCCTCTTCCCTCCTATCCTGCCCCTCCTCCCAACTTCTCCATTCTGTCAAGGGCACCAGCCTCCTTCCAGGCACCCAGCTCCACCTCGGGGTCATCTGGGTTTCTTCCCTCTCCTTCACTCCCCCACCCCCATGGGCAATCAGTGGCCAAGACTTGCTAATTCTTCCTCCCCTCCACCAGCCCAGGTTACCTCTCACTCTGCCTCCTTACCTCCAGTCTCTACCTGCTCCCATCCATCCCATTTAGAGTGCCAATGAAATTTTCCGCATGCCCAAGCCCACCTCATCAACGCCTTCCAACGATGGCTCCCTACTGCTGATTGGAGTCCCAACTCCTAATCCTGGCATTCAAGGCCCTGCCACTATTTGGTTCTCCTTCCTCTAGACGGGACCTCCCAGGCTAACTCTAGAGTGCCATACCCCTTCTGGTCGAGTCGGTCCACATCCTCCACCCTCATTCCGAAAATGAAGAAATTCTCCTCGCCGGCCTCCTCAGCCATCTCCACATTAGCCCCGTCCATGGTGCCGATGGTCAGCGCCCCATTAAGCATGAACTTCATGTTGCCAGTGCCCGATGCCTCCGTGCCCGCTGTAGAGATCTGCTCGGAGAGGTCTGACGCCGGGATCACTGAGGAAGGAGGAGAGGAGAGAGATGGGTCCCAGGATGTCAGCTCCCTGATGGGAGGGCTGTCCTCAGGAGGTCTGCCCTCAGCCCTGCAGCTCTGCAGAGGAGGTGCTGACCTGCACTGGTGGGGAGACTTTCCTCATCTGGGAGCCAGTACCTAGGCCTATCAATGCCTCAGATAACCAATGACCCAAAGCTGTGAGGGGCTGCTAACCTACTGGGCGACAGGACCCTGACAGGCCAGGGTATTGGCTTGGATCTAACGGGAAGAAATTCAATAGAAGTAAATATCAAATCTTGCCCTTGGGCACAAGCTTCCCAAGCATGTGATGGGGGAGGCTCAGATCGAGAGTGCTGGTGCTGGAAAAGATCAGAGGGTCTTAGTGGACAACAAGGTCATTAGGCGTCAACAGTGGGATGGGGCAGTCAAAGACAGTAATGTGATCTTGGGCTGCATGAAATGGGGTCAGGGTTCCAGGAACAGATGGTTTTTCTGTCCCCCACCATCGTCAGGCCCCACCTGGAGTATGGCGTTCCGTTCTGGGGACCATAGTCTAGGAAAGGTGGCCCAGGTGGAGAGTGAGCAGAGGAGGCCACCAGGAAGGGAAAGACCAGTTGAAGCAGCTGGGAATGGTGAAGACTGGGGGCACAGACAGGAGCACCCCCTGCAAGGATTCGAGGGCTCCCTGTGGACGAGGGCTCAGCTGCAGCCCAGAGCAATCAGAAGAGCCCTAGGTTTGCGGCCCGAGACCCCGCATTTGGATTCTGGCTGCATGACCTTGGGTAAGTAATGGGAGGTCTCTGGGCTTCAGTTTCCTCATTTGTGAAATGAGGAGGTTGGATCCAGTGATCTCACAGTCCCCTCCAGCCCTAAACCTATGACCCCATAACTTCTGCTTGGCCCCAAAGGGCAGAGTGAGGAGAAATGGGTAGATTTGACACGGAGGACAATGGATGCGAATCCTGGAAAATTTCACACCCTCAGAGCCACTCCAGAGTGGAAAGGGCTGCCTTTTGAAGTGGTGAGTTTCCCCTCTCACTCGAGGTCTTCAGGCTAGAGCTGGACCAGTTGTATACATACATGCACACATATGTTCAGGCACTAGAAAGACTGTGAGATCAGTCTACAAGCATTGATTAAGCCCCTATTGTGTGCCAGGCCCTGTACTAAGTGCTGAGGAGACAAAGAAAGGCAAAAGCAGTGCCCACCCTCAAGAAACTCAGTCAAATGGCGCAGAGAACACGCAAACAATTCCATATACCTACCTACATGCACGCACATACATCCAAGCTATGTACAGAATGGATGGGAGGTAGCTCTAGGGAGGAGGGGGAAAAGTTTGATCTAAGCCTTGCGCATTCCAGGCCTGGAGAAGTACCCCAGCAGGAAGTGAAGTGTTAGGGTCCAGGGAATTCACATAGCCAGGAAGCTGGATTGGAGAGCATATGGGGAGGGGGGCAAGAGTATGACATGTGAGAGGACCACACGGGTAGGAAGGAAGGATAGAAGGAGCCAGGTTGTGAAGGGCTTTAAAAGCCAGAGGAGTCTGGATTTGACCCTCGGGGTAGCTGGGAGTCCCTGAAGTGGGTGGAGAGACCCCACCAGCAGCTTTTTGCAGAAGTCGAAGCAAGAGGGGGCGAGGCCTGCATGTGTACGGAAGGGTACATGTATATAGGACAGTTGTTTTGAAAGCAGAAACAAGAAGACAACGGATGAGATGTGTGGGCTGAGGGAGACACAGGAGAGCGGGCTGACATCGGGTTTGCTGGCCTGGGCCACGGGAGCAGTATTTGTTGTACCCTGGCGCCATCTTGGCGACCTGTGCCAGGCCCCATGGCTGAGGAGGGCCTCCTGACGCCCAGTCCCGAGCTCTCTCCTCCTCTAGCCGCAGCCCTGGATGCAAAGCACCCCCTCGCCCCGCCCTGGCTCAGACCTTTCTCGGCCAGCGAAACTCGGTAATTCTCCAGGAAGATGACCTTGAGCCGGTCCCCAACCACAGGGTCGTTGTTGACCACGTCACCGATGGATGTGATGAGTTTGATGATCATTTTAGCCATGTGATAACCAGGGGCTGCCTGGGGGAGGAGAACTTGGGGTTAGAGCCCCTGTGTCCTGTCCTGTCTTTACACCCCCGCCCCAACTCCCAGGGAAGTTCGGGGCTTACACCAGCTTTGCCCCAGTGGGCCCCAAAGTTGCCCTCCATGGCAGTGCTGACCCTCTGAGGGTCAAAGGAACTGTTCCCCCACCCGCTCTTAGAGCGGTCCCTTCCCTTCAAAGTGGGGGGGCTCACCTTCCCCCCAATCATCACCGTCCGGGGTACGAAGAATTTGTTGGGCTCCTTCTTAATGCCTATGGAGAAAGAGCAGCGGAGACATCAGATTCTCCCAAGTAGCCCCGTGCAGCTGACCCTGACTACAAGCACTGAGCAGCCCAAAGAGAGGAGAGGGTCACCCCCTGAACCTCACCCCTGTTCCTTCCTCCTGCTCTAGTCAGGCCCATCTAGGAGCTCAGAGACACAGTGGAAAAACACCAGGTCTTGGAGTAAAACAACGTCCCTCAGGCCTGACTCTGATGCCTAGATGTGGGCAACACTTTGTGCCTCGGTTTCCCCATTTGTAACAGGGAGATCGAGCAGCACCTACACCCTCAGGTTGTAAGAGTCAGATGAGAAGAACCTTAACGACAATTACCAGGGATGACTTGGGCTCGTTAGTTTCCCAGAAGAATTTCCCAGCCCTGAGGTTGGTGGGAAGATGGAGTTGTCTCCTCCAACAGGTGCAGCCCGGATCCCCCCTCACCTCCGCTGCTCTGCCAAGGCCCACTAACAATACCCGCCTTCCAGCCTCCTCGGCCTCCCTCCCTTGCTCCTGGGATGCTGGGAGGGCCAGATGGCTCCATCCAGGGGATGTGGGGCAGGGCATGTCCCTGGGCTGCATGGCTGCAGGGAGCCCCTGGGACTGCCCCCCAGTGGATCATGAGTCATCTCCCCATTAATGATGCTCCCCACAGTGCCAGCTCGGGGTGCCTGCCTGACCCTGCCGCACCCTTTCTTCCTTGGCCCCCATGGCCTCTAAGGAGCAGTGGGAGGCCAGTGAAGCCCTCTGTAGGCTCCCCACTCTTTCCTTCCCCATGGCCCAAGGCCCTGCTGCTGCTGGGGCCTGTGTTCCTGGCTCCAGCCACACCCACACTCTGCCTCATTCGGCCTTTCCCCACTGAGCCCCAGATCTCCCGGGGGATGGGGCTTCGACTTCTGCTAAGCTTTTTCCCCTCAGTACTTCGGTGAGGACAGTCATGCAAATGTCACAATACCCATTTTATAGATGATAAACTGAGGCTCAGAAAAGCATAGCTAGCACTTAACCCCAGGGATTCAGGCGCCAAGTACCACTGTCTTCTCACTGCCCCAGACTATTTCTCCTGCCCCAAGCTTTCTTTCCAGGCCCTATGACCCAGTCCAAATGAGGCTGCATAGGCATGCCTAGCTACTCCTGGTTCTCCCCCAGTGGGGGATTTCCCAGGGACTTCATTCTTATCATCATCAATAACCAGTAATACCAGTCTGCTCTATCAGTTAGCTCATTAGGGTTTTTTCACAACAGCTCTGAGGGGGGAGAGTCCTAATGCCTGAGTTATTACCCTCATTTTTTTCAGAGAAGGAAACTGAGTCTTGGAGAGGTGAAATCTCCTGCTTACAGCACACAGTTAGTAAGTGTCAGAGGCAGCATTGGAACTTAGCTCTTCCTTACTCCAAAAAGTCCAGCACTTGAAACTAAATAAATGTCAACTATTTTATTTATTTTTTTATTTTTTTAGGTAATCGGGGTTAAGTGACTTGCCCAGGGTCACACAGCTAGTAAGTGTCAAGTGTTTGGTCTGAGGCCAGATTTGAAGTCCTCTTGACTTCAGGGCCGGTGCTCTATCCACTGAATAAATGTCAACTATTATTACTATTTGGGAAAGTTTTATGGTCTAGTGGCCTGAGGGCTAAACGTGGAGTCAGAAGGAGGACCTGGGCTGGAGTCCTGCCCCCGGACACTTAGCAGCTGTATGATCACAGACAAGTCACTTAATATTTCTAAACTTCAGTTTCCTCCTCTGTAAAATGGACATAATAATGCCTCTCATATCATATACATATAAATATATATATATATATTCCAGACATATGTATATTCATATTGTATACTATATATATATATTCCAGACATATGTATATTCATATTGTATACTATATATATATATATTTAATTATCTTCCCCTTCACACAGGCTACGGTCCGGCCAAATTAGCGTTCCGATTATTCCTGACACACAGTCTCCATCAACCACCTAAGTCTGTACCCATACCCAGGGCAAGAAAGTGCTCACCTCCGAGGCCTCTTAGAACCTCTCATTTCCTTTAAAGCTCAGCCCCTCCTCCCCTCAAAAATGTCTTCACATTTAAGTTTTGAGATGTTTGTGTGCCTGCATGTTACCTCCCACAGAATGTAAGCTTCTGAGGGCAGGGGCCACTAGCTCAGGTGTTTGTTGACTGACTAATTGACTAATAGTGCCTCCCTCCCAGAGCTGGGGGGAGGCCGGGGTCGGGGTGGGGGTGGGGGTGGGGCTCACATCTGCGGAGCTCTTTGCTGCTTCTCCCCCAGGGCACCTGGAGGCAGGGGAGGAAGGAAGAAGTGGGAGGGAGGGCGGCCCCAGAGAAGGGAGGTGGGGGGCGGGGCGGAACTGGGCGCTCACGGTTGTACAAGGTGATGACGTGAAGGCAGTTGAGCAGCTGCCGCTTGTACTCGTGGATCCGTTTCACCTGGACGTCAAACAGTGAGTTGGGGTTGATGTGCACGTGGTACTCTCGCTCCAGATACGCGGCAAACTTCAGCTTGTTTTCCTGTTGGGGAGATGGGTGGCTAGGGGTCTGGGCTGCTGCACCCTCTCGGAGAGGCCTCCTAAATGAACCCTCTTTTGGGGGCTGGTGCAGGGGCCACCTCCCCAGAGAAGCCTTCCAGGATTTCCCCCTCCCGATCTAGCCCTGCATCCCTATGTCCCAGCTCTCTTGTGTCCCCATCAGACTCTGCCTCGGATGACATCGTATTAGACTGTAAGCTTGAGGGCAGGGGCCGTGTAGTTGGCCATTTGGACATCAGGGCCTTGGACCTGGGATTGACAAGTGCCATTCTCGCCCTCCCCCTAAACTCATCAATGGGCCCCAGGAGGCCCCTCCTCCTGGTGTCCCTGCCCGGCTCACCTGCTTGATCTTGGCCACATCGCGGATGAAGGCCTCGTCGTCCACGTAGGACAGCAGCTTCCGAAGCTGGTCCAGGTCGGAGATGAAGTCTTCCCCAATCCTCTGTGGGGGACGAGAGCACCGAGTTGTCAATCAACAAGCTGTTACGGACCGTGTGCTAGGCTAGGCCTGGGGCCACAACGTAGGCCCTCCAGGAGCTTCCAGTCCAGGAGACTGCCTTCGCTTGTCAGAGTGTATACAGAGCATAACAGCACAATCCAGTCTAAGGAGCCGCTCCAGACTTAATCTGGGGCAGTCAGGGAGGGGGGACTGAGCTTCCCTGGGTGCTCGCCCTCCTCCTGCTCCTCAGTGCAGAGCCCCCAGGGAGACCTCCCCGACCTCCCACCCCAACCCAGCCTCCAGCAATGCCTCCTGCCTGCTGCCCTCCAGCCTAGACCATACCATGGACACATTCCCAGAGCCCTGGCAAGGCTTGCAGCTGCGTGGCCTCGGGCAAGCCACAGCCCCTCTCTGGGCCTCATTTGTGAAAAAAGAGACTTGAGCTGCAAGGTCTCTAAAGAGCCCCCCAGCTCTGACATTCCCTGTTCTAAGGCCCCTCCC